TTCAACCTGGGGGAAACAACTACCATAGTCTCAAAGCCACAAAAAAACAAAAAAAACATTTATGATTTCTTTTTTGAATCTTTGTTTTGTGATAACATATTCATTTATCTTTTAGTAGCATCTAAAAATTGCTTGCATGATGTTTTTAAGCCTACTGTTTTTGTATATTTAATTTATTCATCCTGATATATGTACAAGCAATGCACACTTTACAGATCACTAGTATTGAAAATTTGTTTGGAATGAATCTTATAGTTTCTCTGCCATTATTAGGTTTGATTTTTCGTGGATGATAGGGAAGGATCCCTCTTGAACATGTAAAAGCAGAGCTGATCCCGTTTTTTTCCCCCCAAGTTTATCATGACTGAACAGTGATATACAGCTGTTGAAAAAAAGCAGTGCATGTTGAGAAGCCCTAGGATTTATTTCAAAACTTGTGTGAAAGCATCTTATCCTGTTGAAGTCATGTGGTAGTCAAATGATGTTGTCATGTGATCTACATAACATATAATCACTTTAAAACTTGGGGATTGATGTAGTATACAGTATATGCATAGCCAAGGCTACTACACTTTTGCAGAGATATAGGGAAATAACTTTGGTTTATGCTATAGATTTTTACAGCACATTGCTCACATACGAACAAGTATCACACCTCAAGCTCTAAAGCAGAATACAGTCAAAAGGATTAAAGGTCACTTAGCTTAACTCTAAATTCATTTAATTTTTAATTTGTTATTCAAGAAAAACTTACATTTTTAAGAAGAAATGGTGTTTTGTAGGCTTTAATGCCGTTTTTTGTTAAATGATTAAAACATACTCTTTTGACCATCATGAACATTCTGTTATGAAAATCAAACCACATCTAATGTTTTCAGATATTTATTTACAGAACTAATCAAATGCTCACACCATAAGTCTTTAAATCATTGTATAGATAAGAGAGACAAAAAATGGAGTATTAAATAGAGCATTTTAATTACTGAACCAGTATTGGCTTTAAACAGTCAAACCTACACTACAATGTTACTTCTTGAGTTGTATGTTTCTAAAAAATACATATGACAACTAAAGTGATCTAATGAAACTCTACGTGTCTTAAACAGAATTAGTCATCCAAAAAGAAAAATGAGCAATTACTGACGAATTTCACATCTATGTGAAGAAGTAATTTATTTTAGCAGGAAGTTTGTGTCTCTTTTTTTTTTTAAGGTTTCTTGTTACTGTGCAATTTTTCTGTAAAATTATCAATCCAAAGGATCTTGTTTTTTAATTATTTCTAGATTTCAGTATTTATCTTTTATATTTTATCTTTCTCAATACTTTTCTTTCTTGAATTGCTTCCTATGGTTATTATGGTTCATGATATGTAAGAATGTCTGTAGGATAAAAACAAAAGTTGAATCTGAACTAAAGAAATAAAATAACCAGCTATACTGAGCACAGAAATTCATATACACATTTAAGTCTCTTTTTTTATGATAGTTTGTAGATATTTGTATCTTTTGAAATGTTGAATGCTTATATCACTACATCTCAAATGCATCTGTTGAAATCTTCTTTTGTCATTACAGTGAAACAAATGATGAAAAATAAAAATTAACACTTATGAGAAGTAACAGTGTAGAAATAAGTTGTTACGGTTAAGTAAATGTTTTACAAGCTCATATTAATTTGTTTTTTCTGAACTACTGGTTTACTTGATTATTTCAATATAGATGAGAGAATATACACGAGACCTGCGGGTAATGGTTGAAAAGAAGTGTAGTGAGGAAGACATCAAGAAACGGATTAGTAATATGATGGAAGAGGTAATTTGTTTGATTTTTTATATGTTTAACACTAGTATATGTGCAAGCAGAGTTTACAGTTGTTGGTGTTCATAACTGTCAAAAATAAATATATATAATACTGAAATTATTTAGATTTCTAAGTTTTTAATATCACCTTATAAAAACGTTTTATTGTGAATGCCAGAAAAGCCATTACTGTGGATGTACTAATCTGTTTGTAAAGGTGTCAAATACAGTAACATAAAAAACTACAACTATCAGCTCCTAAAGATTTGGAGTAATTTCCTTGATTAATTCTGTGACTTTCTAACTGATTCATTTGTATTTATATATATGACAATATTTGTTTTCCCCAAATCTCTCAAAAATTTGAGATCTCATGTCAAATTTAGACATACAGTGAACTTCTAGGCATCACACATTATTACTATGTTATGCCTAAACTACCTCTAGCAAAAAATACAAAACATCTAAATTAAAATATTAAAAACATAGCCTGCAACAATAAAAATTTAAAAACAAAGTGTAATTTTGTGTTTCAGTCAGTCATTTTACATAATATTCATAACACAACTTAACTACCCTAGTTTTATTGACATGGCCAAACATACCCACCAGAATTTACCCTTTAAAAAAGTTCCATAACTATATGAATTGAAGATATGACTTTGTTGATTGTGTAATAAATTTTTGAATAAGAAAGACAGTTATAATTTCAAAGAATTAAGTTTCCAGCTTTTCAGAACAAATACATTAAACAAATTTTTTTATACTGTGTACTTACCAAAATTCATTAAATGCACTAGTATTTTCCTTCATTCAGTAAATATCATAAAAATAATTCAAGTATGTGAGCTATTAAGTAAAAATTACCTTTATGCCTGTTATTCTTACCCAAATTCCACTTTATTAGTTTGTGGAATTAATAAAGTTTTATGTTTAAAATGTATTGTCACTTAAATGAGTTATATAATATTTAATCAGTACCTTTGTGTAATCACCTTGGGATTATATTTATGCATGAACATAAATATAATTGGTTCATCTACTGTATTGAAGAGTTATCACTGGAATCCCTAGTATGAGCATTCAAGTATGTATGTGCTTCATGTTGTTAACTCTTGGAACTGAGAGGTTCTTCTGTTATATATATATATAACAAAAAAGCTGAACAACCTATATCAAGGTACCATCTGCCTACCACAAGAAAAAGCGTGCTACCTGAATCTTTCCAACACAGAACTGATTACAGACCATAAGTGCATAAGAGACAGCTTATGAAACTGCTGCTAGACATAGTCAAGAGAGGGAAAGGATAACTACAAGAAGAGCACAAGAGGCAGTTGAGGAAAATGCTACAAAACAAGATCAAGATATGGAAAGGATAGCTAGAAATAGCACACAAGAGACAGCTGATGAAACTGCTGCCACACCAGAGGGAAATTGTGGCACAATGACAAGAAGAAGAGCAAAAGAATCAGTTGCAGAAATTGTACCCAAACAAAAAATGGGTACCTCAGCTTGTTTACAATAAAAGATTAAAAATCGGAAGCAACGTAGACTATGTAATAACAATATATTTTGTTTATGAGAAGAAACTTCCTTGGATGAATATTACATTGCAAATGAATAATTCCTAACATGAAAACTCACAAGAAAATTAAATGTACATGTTACGATACATTAAACACAGTGAAAATTTAATGCAATATGGCACTTGGTTACAGAACTTTGATACCAGCAAATGTCACAGGAATTAGCACCCAGAAATGTTGTTTTGCAATAATTTAATTTAAAGTGACCTTTGCTGAAAATAAACATTACTAACAAAAAACAAGCTCCTTTCTATCCAAGGATGCCATCCAGACCATTTGTTTAGAGAAACAGTTTTTGTTGCCAGTATTATAGGCCTGATAGTTATGGGTTTATCTGGAAAACATTCAGAGAAAATGTTTATGAGGGCTATATCATTGTCTTTATTTTCATACAAGTAACTTTACTGTGTAAACTAATACTAGTGGAAGATTGTGAAGTATAAACTTTATTTCTGAAGTTTAATTTTTATGAATACCTCAGTTTTATTAAAATATAAAAAAAATATTAATAACTATAGCAGTTATTAAAATTTGTTGTAAGTTACATGGTCATGAAAAATATTTTTTGGATTAATATGTTTAGTGAAACTTGAGTTAGAGATATCTTGCATCTGAATATGGTCTAGTTTCAAAAACTGCAAGCATCCTTCTTTGTTGGATGATCACTGTAGTCTGTGTTACATGTTAAGGTTAATGTTACAGATTGAAAGATGCAACTACTTTCTGAATAATGTTGTGGAGATAACCAAACGAGGGGAACCAGTGGATGGTCGACTTATGTCTTTCTTGCTTCATGATCCAACTTGTGATGGAGGTCAGTGGGATATGCTTGTGAACCTCATCACAAAACATGGGATGATGCCCAAGAAATGCTTCCCAGAATCATACAGCTGTGAATCCTCAGGTCGATTGAATAGGATATTAAAAAGCAAGGTATACAGTGTATGCTGTTTTAATTTCTGAATTATGTTAATAGCTTTTCTAACAATGGTGTGCTTTTTATATAATAATAGTAAGTACTTACTGACTTGTTTATATATCTGACATGTATAGTCATCATTTTAGACTTCTGGAGTGGCATAGGCAAGATATTAGGATCTGAAAAATTATAGGTGTTGTAACCTGGATAACACCTGAACTGCAGTTAAGATAGAAAAAAAAAGGATAATGGTACAAAAAAATCACACTCGTCATTTTTTTAAATATTATCTCAGTGACTGAAATGTATTAAACACACAAATGATAGAAAAAGAACTTTCAGACTATTAATGTTACTAAGAGAATATATATTTCCTTCTACTGAGTGTAAGCTAAAACCTGTTTTGTTTTTATTCGTGTTTTGTTATCAGTGTATGCATAGTGCCACAATTTACTAATGCAGACTTGTTGCCTTATAGATTCAGTAGGAAAACAAAGGATAATTTTTTGACTGGTTAAAAGGCCCCAGAAAGTCAACAAGTGGCTAGAACCATGTACCACAGCAATTAAATAATTCATACATAGTTTAGACTATAACATCATTATGTCTAGCTTTGATGTCATAAACCTATTCCCTTAAACCCCTTGTTATGAAGCAATACAACTTATTGCAGAAATTATTTCACAAGACCCCAAAAAGAGAATCAACATAAAACAGGAACATCTAATCGAACTGTTACAACTAGCTACATTTATTTGCTTGCAATACAGAGATTTGTAGTTCCTTCAATTACATGGACTTGCCATGGGAAATCCATTATCAGGTGCTTTGGCTACTTTTTTCTTACATTACATATAACAACATGTCACAGTCACTTTTGTATATTAGCCTGCATTTTGGATTAAATATGTAGATGATGTTTTTTGTGGATGTACTTGTCAAGATGAACAGACAAAATTTCATATTTAATCTACCTAAAGACACACAATTCACTGTTGAAAATTAACATAACAACATGATAAGTTTGTTAAATGTTAACATCACACAAACTCCCCAAGGCTTCACCACATACAGCATAAATTACATAAACTGGTTTTCTAATCATGTAATCCACCAGAAGCTAGGCACTCTAGAAAAAGCCTACTAAATTTAGCATACACTATACGCACTGCAGAAAACATAGATGAAGTTGTGCACTTAACTCAATGCTTTACTAATGTAAACCAGTTCTTCACTAAAGTAGTTACAGAAACTATTAATGAATTTAAAAAAATACAGACAAGAGACACTTAACAAACACACAAACTAAAAAACACTGCACAAAACAAAGAAAACCTAATCATTTGCACTATCCCATATATATAGAAAATATTAGCATACCTCTATCAGAAATTTAGAAAAGACTAGCACATAAATATAACCTTAACATAATGCCTAGATTCATTTTCACCCCTGAAATGAAAATGAAGTGCACATTAAGAAAATTTTATAACATACCTACCCCACCAGGTACAAACTAAAGTGTAACCATTTCCCAGCCTTTTACATAGCTTAATCAGGACATAACATTAAGATTTGGTTAAAAGAACACCAAAAACCTTTCCCAAGTCCATGAACGTATGAGCAAAATCAACCACAGTTTTTCTGAACAGAATGTGAAGGTACTAAAACATGAACCTGACATTAACAGAAGAAAAATCAGAGAAGTCTCACTGATAAAATCAAACAATCCCACAATTAACAAATATCCAGGCACATCTCTACATATTCTTTTATATTGATTTACTTTTTTGTTAGTTTTTCTGTTCAGCCATAAATAAATAATCTGTCTATTCATACAGATTGATATGCACATGCATAAGTGACCACCTTCAGTTCCAAAATTTAAATACATTGTTAGATTGTTGAATGTTGATTTAAATACTAAAATCTTCTTTACTGCTAAAACTTGTGTAGTTGAGAATGATTGCAACAATGATTGAAACATCGTACATTTTCTAAAAAATCATCTTCCTTACTGTAAAATCTGTAACTGCTAGAACTCAAGATAGGGATAGGATAGCTAGAATAAGTGCATAAGAGACAGCTTATGAAACTATTATGAGACATAAGGATAGCTAGAATAAGTGCATAAGAGACAGACAAGCTCAAGATAGGGATACAGCAGTTTCTTTTACTGTTTCTTACAATTTTCTTTCTTCCATCCTCTTGGCTATTTTTGATTTCTGTGAATACAACGATTTCAAAACTCGTTTGGGCATCTTGACACACTTAGGTAGGAGTGCATTTTGTCTGTGCACTTCACAAAATTGACTATTTTGGAAACTAGAAAGTAACACTACTTATATATACATACAAATATATATTATACCATTTACTTGCAATTACTGTCAAGGAGGGAAGCAACGTGTGACATCTTTGAGGTAATGGTGAAACACTGTGAGACTAAGTGTACACGAGTTCACTCTATATTCACATGTTTAATTAATTGACAGTCATTGGCTGCATTATAGAAAATTTAATTTTTTTTTGTGTGTAAGGATGTGGTGCTATCTATGAATGTAGTTAAAAAAAATATATATATATATATATAAAAAAATCTAAATTACCCTTTCTTCTTTCTAGAATGATTTAAAATTGTAACATGAAACTACGTTCGTTTATCCTAATTAGCTTTAAGCTCATAACAGTATACATCTATTTATAATTAAATAATGTACTAAAGAACATAGACTAATAACATGCAAAAAGTAGACAATTTCCACTAACTCTCAAAAATTTTCTGGCTTTCCAACTATGT